GTTTGGAGACCAAAATATGATGAAAGTTGTAAGCAATGTTCGAAGTGGGGGCGGGGGGGGGGGTGTTCTCTATAGTTGGCCTTTATGGTAGAATCCATCAGGAAGGGCGCTATGACCTTTTTTTCGAGGGAAAGCCATCATGGCTAGCTTTATTGATTAATGCATAAAGATACATTGTCTACAAGCTTGCTCACCAGACAATCTGGAGGCTCGTCAGTCCAACTAGAAGAAGTATATTACAATAACTAAAATTAGCTAGTACATGCGCCGCTTGATTTGCTGATCAAAAACAATGCTTAAAGTTGACCCGGAAGGGCGCTATGACCTGACTTGACATCTTTGGTCATCTCTATCCAGTCTCACACACCCCTCACTACTTTTCTCATGTCCCACCGAACCTAGCAAAGAAACAGATAAGAAGAGTAAAAATAGGGGATTATGTAAAACTAGTGTAACGTTGTGTCACATCTCGGTTTAAAAAATGTTGAGGTGTGACCTCGTCCAGACCGTTTTGAATCATTTAGTTTGCAGGTTTCTTGTACACACGTATAGGCGTTAGGGGGTCTGTCCACACATTTTGTGTGGTGTATAAAAGGAATAACCCACACATCTATGTGTGGGCAAAACAAGTAATGCACGCACACCTTTTTCCCCCCTCCCGATCCCTTTCACACGTGTGCGTGTGGGCGAAATAGATAACGCCCACACGCCCCGTACGTCAGGCCTCATACCTCGTGGTCCCGCACGTCCCGCATGACAGTCACCGCGCGTCCCGCAGTTGCCATGGTACAGACCCTCGTCCATGTTCATTTAACTGTAGTTGCCATGTCGCAGAACTTCGGTTGCCATGTCGGACAACTATAGTTGCCATGTATGGTCTGATATACTGCAGTTGCCATGATTTCAAAATTTTAGGAGTTGTCACCCACTAAGGGCCTGTTCGGCAGCTCCCCAACTCTCATAAATCCTGAAATCCAGCTTCTATTTTGGATCGCCAGCTTCCGACGCGAGCGCTAGCACTGAGAAATTCGTTCGGTGTCTCAACTCCAGGTTTCGGTCGCCACACATGGGCTGCCTCCATATTCACTGGAATTTGGCCTTGTTGGGTATTGAGGAGAGGCCTAAAGTGGGTCCAAGAAGGACGCTGGGGGAAAAGTCACATGAGGCCCGGCTCCTAGGGGCTGGAAAGTTGGCTAAAGGCCTAATTTGGACCGGGTGGAGGACATTTTTCAGCCCAGATCGCTGGGAGACAGCGTTTCTCCCTTTTTTGTATGTTCCTTCAGTAACAGAGAGCAATTTTGGTCCAGTTTCCTATGCTTTCAAGCCTGCAAATTATGACTAATGCATCTTCAAATGTTTATTTTGACTGAAAATATAATGTTGGCAACTCATATTTTAAGGATCAACACAATGCACGCATATTTCATTCAACAAAAGCGTAATATTCGCATAAGTTCTGCAAATCAAAAGTGGTACATATTCCTAAAGTAATGTTATGCATAGAACCAGGTTGACCAATAGATGCATACGTGAAATGCATATCGAAGTCACATATTGCCATCACATTTTGAGTTATTGCTCCTGTTCTTTCGATGTACCTCACTTGTGATGTCTTCAAACATGATGCGCAAGTTCTCTTCATTGCGAAGTCCATGCTTCCTGAACTTGTAACAACCTGGAATGTCCTGTAAATATACAACGATGATAGCATTTGTTAACAACAATTAAAGAGAAGAAAGATATGGTATGCACAACATGAAGATAAAAACTCACTATCTTTGCCTTCTTCCACCACTCTGCATCTTGTTTCACAGTGTTACGCTCTATGTCCCATCCCGCTCCTGTCTCCTTCAACTTAAGTTTCTTGAATATGCTGTATTCACCTCTCAGTTTGTCCATTTGTTCTTCAATTGGTCATTGATGTACTCCAGCCCTGTTATTAGTTTGAATTCCCTCCCCACCTCATCATATGCATTCGAGGTCAAGTGAGTATTTGGCCTATTTCCAGCTCTCACTTGCTTGACAAACAACTCGGTGACAATCCTTGTATTCTCAATGTTCCATTCAGCAACCATAATTCTATATAGAAGTTCATGTCACTGTGTGTGCTAAAAAAGATTGTATGCACTCATTTATAAATCTGTACAACGACTACTTCCTCTAAAAAGATTGTATACTCTCATATATAAATCTGAACCTCATCCATGTCATCTGAAATTATGAACATGAAAAAAAAACAGTCTGGGAGACTACCTAAACTATGTCATCTGAACATATTTAAAACGATAGAGGGACTACCTCAACTATGTCATATAGAAATTGGTACAGGGTACATCCACAAATATGAACCAAAGGGACTCATCTGGCCATCCTAAAATCTGAACCAAATGGCCTCATCTGCACATCCTAAACTCTGAACCAAATGGTCTGACTGCATGTAACATGAACTGAATGGAGATGGGGAGGGGTTGTGCATACGCACAAGCTCACCTTGAGCTTCTGGAGCGGCGCCGGCGGGGCAGAGGAGCAAGGCCGACAACCTTAGGCGGTGCCGGCTGCTGACAGGTTGGGGTGGCGAGATAGAGGAAGGACTCGCGGTGTCGGGGAAGGGGCGGCTCGAGGAGGAGACCGTCGTCGGGGTGGCCGGACGAGTTGGCCGACGGCGGCCGGGTCGCCGGACGAGTTGGCCGGCGGCGGCGGGATGGCCTCGTCCGTAGCTGGCGGCTAGGGTTGACGAGCGGGTGAGGACGGAGGAGATTGGGGATCGGGCTAATAGGCTTTCTATACTTCGCGGTGGCAGGTTTGTGTAAATACCCCGAACTCCAGTTTTCTCAATTCCTGGGATCAGCAAAGCTGCGGCTCCGCGTTTTTGTGCATGGACGATGGGCAGATCCTAGAAGCCAGCTTCCTGGAGCCACACCGTTCGGGCCAGCTCCGCTCGCGGATTCGTTGAATCTGGGAGATGGGGAGCTGCCGAACAGGCCCTAATACTAGGCAGTTGTCATGTAGCATTACAAAAAGGCATGGCAAAAAATATGTTCGGGGTAAAAGAGAAAGTTGCCATGTTCTCACAAGCACGCTAGGGCAGTTGCCATGTAAAGAGAAAGAGTTGTCATCTGCTTACGTGCACGCTAGGGCAGTTGCCATGTACAATGCAAAAACACATGGCAACTCGGGTGAAAGAGAGTTGCCATCTGCTTACAAGCAAACCTAGGGCAGTTGCCATGTACCCTGCAGAAACACATGGCAACTGCCAGCTTTGGGTGTGGGCGAGGAGACGGACGTGTGGGCGAAGTGATAAACGCCCACACACCAGCCCCCTATGCGTGCGTGAAAACTGATGTGTGGGCGAATTGCTAAACGCCCACACACCAGCCCTCCCGTGTGGTGAAAAAGGACGTGTGGGCGACCGGATGAATGCCCCCACACCAGCTTAGTCCTACGTGGCACATAAAAACTGCTAGAACGCGTCAAGATTCGTGCAGAATTGGTTGGACGAGGATCCATGCATGTGGGCGAGTTGTCAGACGCCCACACGTGTGGGCGTTAGTGTTTTCGTAAATTTATCCTTTTTCGAGGGGTGGAAGGTCAAATCTACCTTTTTTGAGAGCAAGGTCATATCTATCCTTGACGACGAAAAAAGTTTTTTTTTTTTTGAGAATTCCAAAAAAGGTTCGATTCCTTAACACGGCTAGTAGGGGCTAACGTCGGCCCAAAACCATGGGCCGGTGCAACTTTAAATAAGCAAAGACAAGTGTGGACCGGGGGGATGCCGTCAGAACGAGAAAGCAGGTCAAGGAAGGGAAAATAGGTCCAAAGCCCACGCGCGGCACCCTCCTCCAAAACCACGAGCTAAACGGCGGCGAGGGCACGAGCCAACGGCGACGAGAAAGCTACACAGCCCGGCGGTTATCCCACGCCCCACCCCCACCCCGCCCCGCCGTCCCGCATTCGCTCCCATCCCCGCGCCACCCGCCGCCGTCCCCCCGACCGAATCCGAGGGCCTCCTCGGCTTCTCGCCTCCTTTAATCC